GTTCTCTACTTAAATTCTGGCCTCTGTGGGTTTTTGTGTTCTAATCAGTGACCTGGAAGCTTTTCAGAATAGCAACTTCCTACACTTAAGGCCCAACACTTACAAAGCAGTATACACACTGACTTCATTATTTATCTGTTACACTTTGAGCATCCCAACTCTAAAGATGACAGTTTTTATGGAATGACAAATCCCACAGACATCGGCAAGCCTGGGAGAGAACAGACAACTAGACAGGAGAAACCTCTGCGAGGACACACACACACACAAAAAAAAAGTACTGTCAACATGTATAAAAGTATTGTTAAAACACACAGAAACAGAAAGCCAGGGATAAGTGCTTGGACTCCAGCTAAAATGGAAACTCAGATACAAGTGACTTTGAATGCATACTGCAAAATGGAGAGCGACTGCTGGACACGTTACGTTAGTAATGGAATGAACAGGAGCTGGGGTGGGAAGGTGCTGCAGGAGAGCCCTCCAACCCCACACCTGCGCCCAGGGAGGGCCACAGGCCACCAAAGCACCCAGGGACTGTCAAGTCACCAGCAGAAAAATGAGGAACTCAACATTTTTTTTTTTTAAAGTCTTTGTTGGGGGCAAGGAGAAGAACAGGAGAGAACATGCCTGGGATCAGAAATTCACTCGAGCACAGTCAGAGCCTGAGCAGAGCTCAAACGGTGACGTGTTTTGGAGGGTGCACTGCCTGCTTCCCTGCCACCGAGAGCCTAAACCTGCTGGTGCTGCTGCGAGAAAGGAAAAGCAGCAGGGCAGGCAGCAGCACCACTAACTAAAGGATTATTTGGCATTTTGGGGGAGGTGAAGTCAAAATGGATATATTCAACATAGCAAAGCCCCATCCAAACGTGTTCCAGTTGACAAGAGCTCCAGTATGGAGAATGTTATTAGATGGGTCCTCACATTCTTAAAGAAAATAAATACGGTGTGTTTCTGCCAGGGAAATCTTGGGATAACAAATTATTTTCCACTTGGCTCATCTAATTAGCACAGTATTGGAAACATTAACTACTATTTCCTGTCATTCACTCGAAATGTGCATTCTTGCTTCCTTTTCTATTGTAATCTCATGTTTTTCAGCAAGGGTTTGAGTACAACCACTGCAGGAGAGGGACTGGATGGCCAAAAGCATTTCCAGCACCCCTAAAACTGCTGCTCCCCAAGGGGACCAACAGCACGATGGCACCAGGGACACAGTGCCCGGTCCGCAGCAGCAGGGCCATCGCTGTCACCCTCTTGCACAGCCAGGTTCAGGGCAGCAGGGTGGTGCTTCACTGGAGGAGTTTTCCTTCACCTTCTTCTCATTAAAGAAAAAGGAGAGCCAAAAATGCAACGTTTTCACTATGTTCATGACAGTACAACGTTCCCATACTAACAAAACACCTAGAGTGGGAGGTTTTTAATGTATCAAAGAGGAAAAAAAATAGTACTAGAAAATATAGAAGCACAAAAAAAAGGCGCAAATGGTTAATAGAAGACCACAGAAATGCTGGTTTAAGTGTAGGGCATATAGGAATGGTGGAAAGAGGAAGAAACTTCTTTAGCCCGCAAATCCTGCGTTTTTGGATAGGGAGACTAAAAGCAAGAGCGGGAAGCCCATCAGGGAGCCACAGTTAGACTAAAACATGGCAGGGAAACACCAACGTTCATGTTATTTTCTCTTCCAGGTCTCTTATCAGTGTGGAGATACCAACTCCTTGGGAAATAAGGAATGTCCTTCATTTGCAGGGCACGTACAGAGCATACAGGGTGTGTTGAGAAACCACAACGGCAGCCAACGCTGACAGGTGAGTGCGAGGAGAGGGGGATCAACAGGTCTCCCGGGGGACCCGCAGTGGTAGCAGTAACAGCAGGGCCCTTCCTGGAAGGCGATTTGAGCCCCGCACTTCCAGCGGGGAGTCCAAACCCCCGCTGCTCCCGGTCCCTGGGCCCCCCCGGAGGGACCGGGCACCCCCTGCGGGGGGAGGCCTCGTCCCGGGGGACACACGGAGCAGGAAGGTGAAGGCGTGGGGGCAGCAGCGCCGAGGCGCCCTGCGGCCCGGGCCCCGCTCCTGAGGCAGCCCGAGGGCCGCAGCCTTCCCCAGCG